TGTTGTAAGAACATAATAAACCAATAAAATTGCATAAAAAAGTCCAAGCAGTTATATTTTTTTTTTTTTGAATAGAAACATTATAAACCCCATTATTTGTTAAACATTTCGAATACTTCGCTTCTCTAACGTGGGATTTTTCACAAGAAGGCCGCACTGCAGAACTAAATCTCTAAGGTCGAAACTTAAAAACCAGGTCTTGAATGCTCTCAGTAAACTCGAAGTGTTTTTGAGTTGTCCGTTTCCTAAGAAAGCGAATGAGGGGGTTATAAAAACCGGCATCCGGGCTAAAAGCGGAGTACTGGTACTTGTATGTAAGTACATATTTATATAACAAATGGGTGTATGTTTGCAAAGTGTGAAAGGTTTCCGTGAGCATAATGCGAATACAGAATTCAGACAATGATATTCTTGCCGAAACAACGTAAAAAGGATTTCACTTCGAACATGAGCTTGCTATTGGAATTTCAAAGATAAGCTTAGCAATAACGTTATGTTTTAAAAAATGATTATGTAAGTAAATTTTTGCGACTTGGCAACACTGCAATTACCATACACGTTTTTGGCAGTTTGGGATATTGGTCTACTCCATACTTTTCATCGTACGGACGCTATTTGTATTTTTTACCCTGCAGTGAATTGAAAATTGTATGCCAGCGATAAAATAGAGTTAACGACTTTGAACGTGGATTATCTGTACAAGAGTTTGTCGATCAACTTTTTTGCACTTTTGGCAATGAAACACCTTTACAAGGCCACTATTTGTCTCGGATTTAATAAATTCAATTCAAATCGTAATTAGACCTCCGACGAACCTCGCGGAAGTCACCAAAAATTAGCTGCTGTTAAAGAAAACATCGATGTTGTGCGTCAACTGAAAATGCAGGACCGATATGTGGCATACCGTGATGTTCAGGTGACATTGGTGTTGGGTTGAGTTGTATACAACAATCGCCGTAAAACAAATTGTGGATCCCGCATAATTTGGCAATTAAGTACTAAATATAGATCGTGTGAATTGATGCAAAAAATCAATAGAGGTACGCCAAATGCCGTCCATAATCTCTGCGCAACTGACGAGTCATGGATCTATGCAGCAGTAGACTATGTGGGATTTTCAAAGTGAACCTAGCCCCACAAAAGTTACTCACGCTCGAAGTGTTTCAAAACAAATAGTCAGCATTTCTTTTACAAAAACTGTTTTTATTGTAACGGTACCGTTAGAGAAATGGAATATGGAATAAGAAGCTTTCAACCAAATAAGTAAAAACAACGCAATCCTTCTTCACCATGATTTCGTATCCAACGGCTTCTCTTTGCTCCCGAGCAACAAAAATAAACTGCGTGGTCAGCGATTTTCGACATCGGGATAAGCGGTTGATGCGTATAAATACACATGTTTTGAAGGTACGTTGAAAAATACTTTGAAAACCAATAAAGATATATTAAATGACAAATTACTGTGTTTTCCTTACTAGTCGCCAAATTTTCGGAGTAGGCCTCCTATACTATATAGCCCCTAACCGCTTTCAGGTAAGAAAATCTTTTCGAC